AAGCATACGAACTTTATTTCGGAATTAAAGTTGACGACCAAGATAAATTATGGGCCCCTCATATATGTTGTAAGACTTGTGTAACGTTGTTAACAGGTTGGTTAAGAGGCGACAATCGTAAAATGCCCTTTGCGGTACCAATGGTTTGGAGAGAACCGAGAGACAATACTACTGATTGCTATTTTTGCCTCACAAATACTAAAGGTATTGGACCAAAATCGAAAGATACTGTTAAGTATTTTAGTTTACCATCAGCTTTGCGGCTCGTTAAGCATAGTGATGAACTTTCTGTCCCAGTTCCACCAGAATCTTGGTCTTTGGATAAAAAAGTCGAATCCACTGATTCTGAAAGTGATGGTACAGAAAGCGTAAAAATTTCCGATCCTTCGTTTGACCTGCCATAATTTCAACAGCGCCGCAATTGATCACACAGGGCGAACTTAATGACTTAGTTCGAGAATTAAATCTGTCCCAGTCAGAACTTTTATCGTCAAGATTAAAAGGATTGAGTCTTCTCCACGGTGATGTTAACATTACTTTTTACCGAAAACGGCATCAAGACCTCACACACTGTTTTCGTCAAGAAAGGGAGTTGATATATTGCTCCGACAATTTGTTTAACGCGTTAGGACAGAAACATGATCCAAATGATTGGCGCCTGTTCATTGATTCCTCTAATCGTAGTTTAAGCTAGAGAGCTATTTAGCTTTTCCAAGAGACAATTTGTCCGTTTTGTTGGAAGAAGTGCCATTGCAAACAAGAAGGAATATGGTGCACTTGCACGATGGTGCTCCAGCACACGCTAGTCGAGTAGTTGTGGAACATCTCAATAATACCTAAGGGAATAGGTGGATAGGAAGAAATGGTCAAAATGCCTGGCCGGCTAGATTCCCCGATCTTAATCTGTTAGATTTTTTCTTCTGGGGATTCACTAAAAATTTAGTTTACGCCTCTGAAATAAGGGATGAGAATGATTTAAGGGAGCGTATTTTGGCCGCCGCCAATGAAATACGTAATATGCCTGGAACTTTTAAACGAGTTAGAGAAAATTGGGTTCGACGGTGTCAAACTTGCGTAGATGCGCATACTTCCCATTTTGAACATCTATTGTGATTACTAATACAATTAACTGTAGCTTTATGGGATTTACAGAGGTGATTTTTTTCTTTTTTCGTGCATCGCATCGTTTCAAATAAGTGACTAATAATCGTGGGAATTCTGTCATTTTTTTTAAGTAAATGTACTGTACTGAAAGCGTTATTAAATAAAAAATATTAGCCACAAAAAAGTGCGTAAAAGTATTAAATAATTCAAGGCATATTTTCAACAAAAATATACTAACGTAAACAATTCGATGAATCAGTTGCGGTCGTTGTGCGCTCGTATCGCGGTTGCGTTGCAGCGTTGCCAAATGTTTGAGAAAATTTAATTACTTACGACTCACTTTCCTCGAAAACGATTGATTTTCGGACATAAGTTATAATGAACTTTTTTGCTTAGAATAATGCAAGGAATCACGAGTTACCAAAATTATTTCCCCAACTTTATAAATAAAATGCAATAGAAATAAAAATATCAAGCATAATTATGTAGATATGATGTGAAACTTCCACAAAAAATGTCTTTGAAGCTGGTCCCCTTTCTTTTTGAGCTGGGTACGCCCTTATTGGGTGTTGTATTTCGCATCTTCGGTATCACTGGTTCAAGTGAAGCTTCATTTGTAAAGAATCTTGTCGTAAGTAAATATACCTGGGCAAGTTCCGATTCCATTTGAGCGTTTTTTGAATAGAGACTCATTATTTTTCTAGATACACATGGACATAGATAATTTTCCTTCTGAAAGAGGCCAGCTAGTCCCACCTTCGCTTTAGTAGCTACTAATGCAACACATTGCTCCACTTGTATAATCAAAAACTCGGAAATTTATATTTAGTCTGCCAAAAATCTGTTCCAAGTACTTTGACTCTATATATCACATGCAATTTCATTGGTCATTTTTTTAATCATACTCCATACGGTGCACTGAGAGAAATTTTATATGAAGGTGCGGAATTAATAAAACTTTGATTTTAGTTTTGATTTGATGCTTTTTGACTTACTGAAATCTTTATGAATGATATTCAAATACAATAAAATAAATACAATTGAAATAATGAATAAAATAACAAATCAGGTGAAAGTTAGCATTAACAAACAATTATTCATTTTAGTAAATTTTTGGATCGTCATGTAAAAGCAAATAATCTTTTTCTGCCCCTGTCTCATTTTATTGATCCTAAAAATCAATAACATATTTGGTAGTTACGCATGAGTTTGCAGATATTTGCAGCTGGAAATCTTTCAACAATGATCCTGAGGAGTTGAGGAATCGTTAACAAAAAAAGTGGATGGAAGCACTTTATATGACTTTCTTTCTTGAAAATCGCGCGCATATTCCAATGTTTCTTTAGAATCTCATTATTACAAATCGAAAGTACAAATATGAACTTTCAATATGCTGTTTGACACAGAAAAGCAAGCCTTTAAACACAATATAAATTACAATTATATGATACTTTTTTGAATGAATAGTGAATGATTCTGAATTAAATTATATTAAGGTAGATGGTCCATCGAAGGCCACCTTAACAAATGAATAGGTACTTATTATCCATTATACTCGTAAGTGAAAAGATTATTAATATTTTGTGTTATTGTGTAATTTATACAGCATTTCTATATCACAGAGTTTATCATTATATATTGAATTTTGGTATTATTGAACTCATCCGAATGACATTGCAAGGAACAAGCCTCTTAACAAAGCCATAAGTCAATATAATCAATATAATGTCAATATGTTCTTATATTACTTAAAAAATATAAGAAAATCTTCCAATAAAATGAAACATTAAATACAATAATATAGATTTTCATAAGAAATAACCAACATTACTTGAACAATATCGTGAAAATAAAAATTTATTCGTTGAAAATGTTTTAAAAGTAGCTTTAATGAGTCTTATATCGATATCAAATAGGTTGCCTATAACCTTTAAAATAAACAAGAAAGACAACTAAAATGGCCTTCTCATGTCTGCTCCTTGTGAGACGAAAATGTTAAATGTTCCAGATGATGTTAGAAATCAGCAATTCAGTGAATATTGACGTGGTAAAATCAAAAAAGTAGTGCTGTGAGTTCGTATTACAATTTCAACCTCGACAAGCCGAGTCAACAGTGTGAGCGATCGCATTAACAAAACAATCACGCGAGCAACCCGCCGCCGCGATTGCTTTTGAGTTCGATGGGTGTTAGTCTGACAAGAAGGAATTTGGCATAGAATTACAATAACTACGACTTTTAAGAATCGGCCTTCCAAAAGAGCGTGACCTTTCATGGCCCACCCACCTAAACATTGATAAAATTCTACAAATCTGTTTTCGGACCAGGTCTTTTCTAAAGGAACTTCTATTTTGTAGTTTTCCAAATAGCTCTGATGAAAAGGAGCGAGAGTGGAATAAATCCTGAGCCACTCGGAATTTGTAGAAATAAAAATATCTTCAGTCTCAACGACAAGTGGTATAATCATCTTACGGGTGGTTCCAAAAAGATTTGATTCTGCTATGAGAAATAGAGGCGCGGTCTTTACCAGTGCGAATACATATCGTGCATGCTGCGAGCATCAGAATTCTGTTGAAGAGTGTCAACGTCATAAAGTGTCATTTTGCCAGTTGTCTAACCTAAAACTTTGTGGTAAACGTAAATATTGAAACTGTATTTTATTTTTGCAATTCTCTTTAAAAGTAAAAGTTCTTAGTTGATTAACAATAGGCTCATATTTGTAAAATGAATATGCTGTCATCCAATTCCTCCAATATCATGGATGAGAACTACCATAATGCGTCACAGACAGACATACCACCAAATGATGTAAATCAGAGTATCTTCACCAACTGCATCATTGCAGACGGCTGCAATTTACAGACGGATGAGAATTTCAGCATGGATCAGCTGCCTAATTGTTATATATACATCATGGATCCGGATGTACCAGCAAATGTCTTTGAAACTCCATATGATGAGAATCAAACTGTTGCTTTGGAAAACTCAATTGTTGTAACGTAAGTGATTGAGTGATTCAGAAGGTATTGATATAAAGTAGTTCTATTTGTAGTGTTCCATCAGCAGAGTCAAATACAGAACAGGTGCCACAAGCAGGTCAAATCTGTAATATCAAGCCAAAACAAGGTCTAGTACAATATAAATGTATACAATGTCCAGACACCTTTAACACCCAAGCAAAGTATGATAAGCATGTGCTTACACATAAATTCAGGAAGAAATATAGCTGCACCGAGTGCTCGGCTGCATTTAGTATACAGAACAATTTGAAGATTCATTTAGTGGTGGTACATGAAAAAGGGGATGGAAGATGTCCTATTTGTGGAATCAACCTTGCATTTCAGAGAACGGCTAGTTTAAGGTCCCATTTGATAATGCATCAGACTGAAGAAACTTTCTTTTGTAAGCAGTGTAATGCTGAATATGATAAAGAGGTTAGTATAGGATTGTAGTATGTAAAAATATGTTTTCACAGTAAAGGTGATGAGCACCAACCAAGAGGTTTCAAAACTAAGTTAGTTTGTTGCTGGCCATATATGAAATTTGTGGTGAAATTGGTTCCATGTAGAAAAACTTCACTAATCTATAACTAATATCAGGGTGTTATAATTTTCATAATACAAATTTCTCTACTCAGGAGCTTCCATAACATGGTTTAGCAATTTGTAACTTTGTTTGGTGTTTGATACCTAAAGTGTTTTGGCTGTGATAAAAATCTGTATGAAATATCTTATTTTTTTGGTACAAAGAAGCAAGCAGCAAAAAAAGCAGGTGTTACATCAGAATTGTTGCTCAAAGATGATCTTTGTATTCAGTATCACATTATTTGGTGATATATGACATGATGAAAAGAGATATTTTCAGCATTTGCTATAATATAAATATAATAATAAAACAAGTTTTTATTCAATTTATTGAGGGAAGAGAGAAATTTTTCATTTTGTTCTTCTGTACCAATAACCTCCTAGATCGGACACTAGACATGGATGTGCCAGAATCGATTGTCTTACCAGACATTCTTTTACATCTTTTCCTTTGCCTAAAAGTGAATTCCATACTCTCTTGAGATAATCTACTGAGTAGTGGTTTCAATTCGTTATTTTCTGAGTAGACAATATAGTATGTAGCTTTGTCTTTCATAATCTCACTAGCATTCGTTTCTGGTGAAGAGATATGCAAATCTAGGACTTTACCTTTCTCTGTACAGAGGTCAAAATCGCGCCTAATTTTTCTGTTGATCTTTGCTTCATTGAAGATATATTCCATTAGTACTCCTACCATGCAGTCAGGGTTCACTATCAAAAGTCTGTTTTCTTTCAGTTGGCTTTCGACAGACTCATTTTCCTCTAAAATCAGGAATTCGATGTGTGTTATGTATTTAATATAGCAATACATCTTTCATTTTCAGTGTCACGATGATTGGTGTCATTTATATTGAAAATAGTGGTTCTTGAAATGGCATTCTCTTGAAGTAACAAATCGTGTCAGATTCTGGATTGCTTAACCCAATCCCAATTAAACATAATATCTTTTCCAGAAAGGTGTATTAATCATGTGTATCCTCAAATTTTCCATTATTTTTGAATGGCTAGGATATTTCAAAACCTTTACATTGTCATTGAGCAGTGATTGAGAATAATATTTTAAGGGAGGTTGAGGATTAATGTTATGTTTGATAAACAATTTTTTATAAAAGGAAAATGGAGTCTGCTTTTATTACTTATAACTACTACTATTGTAACTATAACTACTATAACTACATGGAAACATGCTTGTGATGATAAAAATTGTGAGTGGATGTTTAAATGGGCATCTTTGAGTTAAGATTTTAAAAAAATAAGTTGTTAATTCTGTTTGTTTTCAGGAAGAATATATCAAACATATGACTGGTCATTCAACCACAAAGAAAACGACAGATACATCTACAGATTACCCAGTAGCATGCTCATACTGTGGAATGGAGTTTGACAAGATAAGGGAGTATAGGGATCATCTATCATATCATAGCAAGCTGAATAGGTTGCTTTTAAACAGGTAATTCTTCACAAAATCGTAAACATCTTCCATTTAGTACATAGAGTTTCAAGGGGCCATGTTTTTATTGATAACTCAACTAACATTAGTAAAAGATTGTAATAAGGCTATTCTTGCCATCGTCACCAGATCAACTAATCACAGACCAAGGTATTTATAATTTCTGTATGGGTGCATATGTTGTTTGTTCTATATGTCAAGTTTCAACTTGTTTTCTTAAGTAGTTTTTCTATATGAATCATTTAAGTGAATATATTGTGTGGTTTTCATTGAGATGCATAAGCTCGATAATTGTGCATTAAATTCTGGATGTAGGATGGATCTAGTTTTTCAGTGTTAACAAAACTTTATGCGGCTCTGCTCTCTCGATATCAATTGTTAAGAGGTAAGCATTCTAGCTTATCGCATGTCCCAAGATGACCCACATCAAGGACCTCAACCTTACCTGAGATCATCTGAAATGATATTGTGTTGGATAGTAGGCATGTGGAGGTGCGTAAGATAGCTGAGAAGGAATTTAGGTATAAAGGGTGCGAAAAATCTTGCAGAAAGAACTGGAGATGAGAAGGGTCTACGCAGGGTGGGTGTCTTATTTGCTGAATGTCGTTCAAAAGCGGATGCGTAAACAACTTTCGCAGCGATGTTTGGACTAATTGAATAGGGATCCCCAGTGGTATTTTGTAACTCAAAAAGTGACATGATGTCGTTTTTTTTGACATTATGTAGGTTTTCCTACAAAACGTCAACCTGGAACTAGCTCTCGTTCACGCGAGCGCGGAATGAACCATTTGCACACTAGCCTACTTAGTTAAAAAGTTGACACTCTACAGTTTTTTTTACATTATATAGTTTTTTTTACGTAATAGTTCTACCGATCGATTTTATGCAGCGATCCGTTACCATGGATGAGAGGTGGGTCCACCACTAAATGTGGGTGATACTATTTCCTACCTCCTTGATCAACGGCAAAAATTGTTGAGAAGAAGGAAATACTATTTTCTATTCACAAAACTGTGTTAACAATGGAAAAACTGCAGGGTCTGGAATATGATTTGCTGGAACATCCTCTTTATTCTCTTGATTGGACATCCTTCACTTCTATCTGTCCCTGGATTTGAAAAAAATCTTTCTCGAAAACTCTTTGTGTTGAGAGGGCTGTGGACGAATATTTTAGCAGTCTTCCAGACTTCCACCTCTTTCAAGGAATGCTAATGTTGGAGAAACGTTGGACCATGTGTGTTGAAGTTGAAGCGGATTATGTAAAAAAATGGAGTTATTTTCGAAGTGAAAATCTTAGTCTTTCATTGTCAGGCTGAGAGCTTTTCACTTTATCCTAGTAACGTCTTGGGTGCGTGAGCCTGTTTATAGCGTGATACCTATTACCACAACCTTTTTAATCAGTACATTGCCATGTTACAGATCAAGAAAGAAATCATCTCATCCTCCCTCCAGTACTAAGAGTACTAAAGGTCATATATGCGCTACATGTGGCAAGGGGTTTCTTAAAAGATCTTTACTTGTACGACACGAACGTATTCATAGTGGAGAAAGGCCATTTAAGGTAAATTAGTACAATTTCATCTTTTCGGATACAACCTTAAAGTGTTCTTTTCAGTGTTCTATGTGCGATAGTAGCTTCACGCAAAAGGGGTCACTTATGATCCATATTAGAAAACATACTAAGGCGAAACCGTTTTCATGTGCTTTGTGCCCTGCTAAATTCTCTCAAAAAGGTAAGTTGACAAAGTAACATACTTTTGCGTATTGAAAATAGGAGGCGTCACCCATATTAATGAGTGATCTTCTGATTTCTTATGAATAAGCCCCACCCCCTTTACTTTTCTGCTCTGTATGCGACGACGTTTTCGGATTGTACACCCTTTGCACTATTTACGCTCCGAAGCCGGCACAATAAACAACATTGCGTTAGCATGCTAAGATTTTGCGATAGTCATATGGTGGAAGGCATGATGAATAATTTTATCGTTCAGAAAAAAGTGTTGATACCACAACATCTGTGGGCAAAATGCACTGAGATTCAGACTCAAAAATATTTGTCTATGTGGCTTGTTTTCGCAGGCAGCTCAGTTTTAATACAAAATACTTGGTAACAATTCAATATTGGCGTCAGTGTCAACATAGCACTGGAGAAGTAAAGCTATCTGTATCAGAATCTAACATGTTTGCTAACAATGAAAACTGTAATATGATCTTTTTTGTAGGCAATCTTCGAGGCCATGTGTCCAAAACCCATACAAAACACGCCAACTCTGACTCAGCGTTTAGATGTCCCCATTGCCCATGCGTATTCAAGCGGGTGGCAACGTTGAACGGTCACGTGACCAAACTGCATTCGCGTACGACACCAGAGGCTGCTATAGGCGATCGACTGTCAAGCCAGGAGTTGGGACTCGTGAATGTTGAGGAGCAAGAGGGAGAGGAAGAGACCGAGGAGTCTAGAGTGGTAGGAGAGGTGTTGAAGAGACTGAAACAGTTGAATGACGGCGATACCGAACCGGAAAATGAGAAGAGGGATGAAGAGGAGAAAGAGGAAGGGTATGTCAAAATTAGTGTTAAAGTGTGAGTTTGGAGAGTTATGGCCAGTAAAGCGCAGGCTTAGCCCATTGATTGACATATTTCACTAGAAGTGCCTGCGTGAAAATAAATATAAGTACCGTACCGCCGCCAACAACTTGAGCTTGCAAACTATATGCCTGTCGACCATCGTCTTTAGGAGTCAATGTTGTCACCTCTCGGACTGCTGCCACAGGTTATGAGTATTTTCCTTCGTTGATGAATTCTGAGAATACGAATTCGTAGGAATAATTACGAGGCTGGTCGATTTTTCTTCGTAAGGTTGATGTATTGTTGAAGAATAAGGTTTTCTTTAAAAGTAAAATGGAGTCCGTTTTTATTATCTTTAAGAAAATCACTGCCCTAATTAGAAGTATAGCTCTTTATTATATTATTACTATTTCTCATCAGCCTTTTTAACTCAATACTGTCATAACTAGTATCGTGGTCGCTAGACTTAAAAAATATTTTGGTGGGCGTGTCTTTTATTACAATAAACTCCGTTTAATATTTTGCCCCTCCTCAGCTTGGCGTGTGGACAATATTCTTAAATCTTTTGAAAGTTTCTTGAAGTCAAAAAATTCATTGGGAATTACTAAATAAGGTTGACGTTTTCTGGCGAATCAAAAAACCGGATAGAGTTATGACGGTTCAAAAAGATCTCCAACTCCCGTTATCGCAGTATGAATGCACTGTGAGCAGATTCTCCCTCACTTTGGCCGTGATTTCACCACCGAGGAGCGTATACTAACAAGGATTATTGGACACTAAGGGACTTATCTTCATTTAGGTCTCTTCGTGGGAATCATAAATTTACCTTTGCAGATAAGACACCCAGGGGCTAACGGTGTGTTGCCCACACTAATAGATATATAGTTATGCTTCTTCGTCAGATTAACCAGCATGGAATAATACACCTATATGTGGGTTATCTCAATTTTTGGTATTTTGTCAGTTAGAACACTTCGTGAGAAAGGCGACGATATGTTAGATAATTAATAAAAACTAGTAAAATCTTACGAATTTCGTACGTGATGTAACCAAAACTTTGTGGTCAATTCTTGGACTGTTACTGGTTTACAAAAAAAAACAGCGATCTTTGTTTGGTGATTCGTTCATAGATGGCTCGACATCCGCCCCGGATCCGTGCGTTTTCCTTAAAGCTGACATTGCATTACTGAGGCTGTGTTGCCGTACTGACATAAAATGTTTTGAAAACGATACACTGATACTGAGTTGACTGGAGTTTATTCAGTTCACGGTTTTTGGTGGTCTTAAGGTCAGGCTATCTACAAAACTGGAAACCATGTCAAATAGACCGATGATTGGTGAATAAGCAAATTGAGCTTGAAAAAAACTTAAAGACAAGCTGACATGCCTTTTTTCTTACTAAACTAAATTACGTAATATTCCATGAAGGGTCCAAAAAGTTGAATAGCTATGTGATGAGAATAACTTCTGTTTACATAACCTGGAGGGCACTCACAAAAAGTGTGATTTATAACATTATCGAATGAAAAATATATTTCGTAGGCTGCAAACGGATGATAAATATTCCTAGTATGAATAATTGTCCGAACAAAGGTAAATTTGAACAAAAAATGTTTTCACTGCTAGTGATGGTCAAATAACTCATCCAAAAAGGATTGTCTATCTGGCGACGCCGCATTTACTCTGTGTATTCAAAAACTTACGGGACTATTTATTTCAAGAACATACAGTAAGCGCTCTCTATAGCACAACGGCTGAAGTCGGTAGACTGATGTCTTGTCGACCGACTGTAGTAGTTTCATTATGTTGACGCGAACGCGAGGCGTGCAAACCAGTGATAGAAGTTAACGTCTTAAGACCTGTTGTCACGATCTTTAAAATGGAACAAAGAGCGACAATTAAATTTTGCTTTAAGTGCGGAAAAAATGCATCAGAAACATTGTGTGCGATCATTACTAGCTGCGAATCGGCGATTAAAGATTAATCTTTTAGCTGACGAATTTGGAATTAGTGTAGGTAGCGTCCACCATATCATACACGAAGTATTGGGTAAGAAAAATGTGTGTGCAAAGTTTGCTCCGCATTTTTCAACACCCGTACAAAAGGATGCGTGTTAACACTTCACAAAATTTTGTGGAATGGGCTGACAACAACTCCAGTTTTTTGCAAAATATTTTCACGGGTGATGAGTTGTGGCGGTTTCATTCCGACCCCTCCACGATACGCCAAACAGCTGAATGGAGAGATCGGGGGCAGGACGGCCAATCAAGGTGCGTGCTGTGAAGGCTAAAATGAAAACCATATTGATTGCGTTTTTTGACTCGCGAGGAATTATACACCGGGAATTCTTGTCTCCTAGCCAGACAATGATTGGGACCGTCTACAAAGAGGCGTTCAAGCATCTGCTGGATCGCATTCGTCGAGTACGAAGAGAAATATGGGACGCCGGTGAATGGTTTTTGCTGCACGATAGTACGCCATCACATACCTCTCATTGTTAAGCAGTTATTGGCGAAAAAAGAGATTACTATGCTCGAACACGGTGCCGACTCACCTGATCTCGCTGTTTCCTAAACTGAAAGCGGCATTAAAGGTGAACGTTTTGAAGATATCGAATCGATTCATCAAAACGTGATGGCATTCTTGAAGAGAATTCTTACGGAGGACTTTGAGCAGGTATTCCATAGCTTGTACGAACGTTCTTTCTAAGAAATGTATAGAGTGGGAGAGGAGTGATGTATGTAGAAAACCAAATTAGTAAATTATTTTTTTCCATCGTTTACTATTTTTTTGTTGTTATCCCGGAACTTTTTGAATAATGACCATATAAGAACAGCACAAGCATGTGCATTGTACACCAACAGCTGTTTTGTGGACGCCATGTGTTGTGGTTACATTTCTTATCTCTCTTTGATTTATTCACCTTGTCTAATTGTCTTCTCTTGCTACAACTACTTTTTGGTGTTGGAGTGCTAAGTCTCGAACTAAGTTTACTTCAATATTCTTGAGAAAGATCATGATGGTACTCAGAGAAGTAGACCTAATAATTATGGGTGCCAGATGGACAGGGTGTTTTGATTATTGTGTTTATATTTAATAAACCTTAACATATCTGTTATATCTTAGGTATGTGACGTTATCGGAGTCCTTTCCGTCCGACCATGTTAAACAACGAATCTACCTGGTGAAGTATGAAAAAATTGATGACGTCCGGTGGTACTTTTGTGGTTTATCAGCAAAATGTAATAAGAAATTTAAAAAACCCTCCGACCTTATTAGGCACATTCGAGTACATACTAGGGATAAACCCTTCAAGGTAAAATATTATCATTTTAGGATAACTTTTAATGAAGTATGATCTATATCAAAATATGTTCTATAACAAAAGGTTGAAGAAAACTACAGTTTTAAAAGCAACAGCATTTAGCTGTTAGTTGTGACCTATAGGGCATCATTGTGACAGTGAAATAAAATATTTTTTAACTGTTTTCCAGTGTTCACAGTGTGGTGCCTCCTTCACGGTGAAATCCTCTCTTGAATACCATATGAGAGCACATTCATACAGTCTTTTGAAAAAGTCGCTCAAAAACAAACCGAAGAAATCAAAGTATGTTATATTAACATCTGAAATAAACATAATCTTTAACAAATTTTGTTGAATTTTAGATTCGATATCATTGTTTGTACTTTGTGTGGTAAACACTTGTCTGAACTTGGACAGTTGAATCGCCATATAGCTATGGAACATAGTAAAAAGCACAAGGTGAGTCTAATAACGAATGTTTCTAAAGGTGATAAGGAAGATATTTCCTTAGGATTATTGTCTTATCAATTTGGTGTTGGTTCTCTTTGTTTGTTTTAATCCATAGCCTGTCTCTTTTCTAGAAACCTCTTAGCAGGGAGAACAATCCTAAAGAAGCTACTATCGAAATACAAGCATTAAACAGCAACGATTCTAAAGAATTTAGGACAAATTCTCATTCTGGTGACCCATTTATTATTTTAAACATGAATGATGATAACAATGCCACGTTGAACAACGATGACATTTTTATCGATATGGGAAACTTGAAGCTGCTTCAAAATTACACTGAAACTGGTGCATGTGAGAAAGAAGTAAGTATATAACAAGAAATTTGCTCGCACTGGGGCTGGGTAGCCGAGTCGTTTGTTTATGGGTTTCCCAATAAGAAAGACAGGATTTGAAATTCAAATAAAACAACTAAAATGTGATCAATTTGCATACTCATTGGCTTTATTTGATAGTATATTTTATGCCATTTATGATGTAAACTTTCGATGACACTGTGTAGCATTTCGGCTTGTATGGCCGCTATAGTTAATTGAATGTTGCGTACAAGGTCTTGATTTGTTGCTGAGTTATTGGCATGCACTTTAGATTTAACATACCCCCACAAAAAATAGTCTAAATGTGTCAAATCGTACGATCTTGGCGGCCAATTGTGAGGTCCGTTTCGTGAAATAAATGACTCGCCGAACTTCACGTAGTAAATCCATTGTTTCGGTTGCAGTATGGCATGTTGCAGCATCCTGTTGAAAATAAATGTCATCTGTATCAATTTCTTCAACGTCAGGAAAAATAAATTCGTTCAACATGTCACGGTGACGCTCGCCTTTTGCAGTAACCGTACGGCCTTCGTCGTCTTCAAAGAAGTACGGGCCAAAGGTGTCACCGTGTGTTACCGCACCAAACCGTCAATTTTTCTGGATGTAATGGTATTTCCTGGCCCATTCATTGATTTGACTCGCTCTAATAACGACAATTTTGTTTGTTGACATATCCATTCAACCAGAAATGAACCTCATCTGAGACGATGATTTTGCGATGAAATTCTGGATCGGTTTTCATCATTTCCAGGACCCAATCAGCAAACCACGACTCAACAGATGGTCTGTTGGCTTGAGTTCTTGTGTCATTACCATCTTATATGTATGTAGCCCGAGATCAAAACGTGAAATACGCCACGTTGTCATTCTGGATAGCCCCAATTATTGTGAACGGTGTGGAACGGGGGTATAGGATGCTCTTTCTGCAGATTTGATCAATGTCAAATGGGTTTATTATAAACAACTTAGAAATTTTGTAACCGCTTCCATAAGAAGAGAAAAAAAGCCTATATAGAAATGCAGCTTAAAGAAAGTAGAAGTTCCCGTGATTGGTGGCGAACCATCAAACAACTAGGTGTACATAATCCTGTTAAAGATACTTTAGAATGCACATTGCAACCTGATTTAGTGAACAAATATTTCCTAAATTCCATTCCAGATAATTGTGTGGATACCAGTATAATTCATCACTACAATAGCAATGTTTTGCCATCTATACCCAACTAACAATTATCACTCCTATTAGAGTTGCAAGAATGATTATATAGTATTCCTTAAACAGCATTGTATACTGTAAGAACATTAGCAAAGCCTTCTTAGAACTGCTATACAAGCGGAATGGGCACACTTAATAGGACAATTCAGTCATTTAAGAGGTTGTATAAGGGCTGCAGGTAACAGTTATACAACAAAAGTGTAAGCCTCATGCAGCCGCTATAGGACATTTGCGTCAGTGCAAGATTCAGTTTTTGTCAACTATACAACTATTCTGTTACGTGATTCTACTTTATTGCAACCAAACTATTTCTTATGTATTGTATAGATGAAGAAAAGTACATAACTAACACATTACAGTCATCTTGTTTACTTACATATCGGCCATTGTGAATTTCATAGGCAGGTATATGATAAACTTCTACACTGTGACATAGGGCTATTGAATTACTTGCGCAGCAAATTTTATTGTGATTATCGTGCAAATTAGTTACGCAATTTCTACGGGCTTCGTATTTGATTCATATTTTGATAATGATCAAAAGTATGTCTAGATTTTTAAGATGGAAAACTGAACTTATCTGCGTTAAATCTTCCACAAATCCTATATTTGGACATAATTACACTAATGTTTATCACTTTATATCTGCAATTTCGAACTGAAACATAATTATTTAATATTAAATAGAGGAGTAAATGTTTGCACAATATGGTGGGTGGTTGTGTATAATCGTGGCATCGTCCATGTTGTCTTTAGGTTATCAGAATATTTTGGTGTTGCCTGCAGGTGTTATACAACAATTTGACAAATGTCTGAAATATATAAATACCGACAGAGTCGAATGATTCACCCAGAATTGGTACCAGGTCTATATCTTGTGTTTGAACAGTTGATAAAACATTTTGAACCAATATGCATACGTTGATTGTCTTATAACATTGGTTATGGCATTTTAAAAAAAATATGACAGCAGAAAGTTAGGTTATGGTGAAGTTGTATACCGACATAATTAGCATATGTACATCCTTTAACAGTTACTAAACAACGGTTGTATAAGTGCTTCCGTTGGGAGCAACTTGTTGGCTAAAGTAGTAAATTGCACAGCAAAACAACAAGGCTCGGGTTTGTTTTATAAACGTTACCATGGATGCCACAACACAACCATTTTGACTAACGTGCAAATATGCCGTATAAAATAGTTGTTTACGTTTATGCAACAGTTAAAAATTTGCCCTATAAGGTGTTGTATAACTATGGCATAAGAATATTTTAAGCACCTCACTATAGAGCAAATATGTTGCATAAAGCAAATTTGCATTCCACACAACATTAAGCCAGCATTTTGGTGTTCAGGCAACAACAATAGAGAGCTTTTATGGCTGAACGGTTCTTTTAGCAAAAGCTTATACCAGTTGGGTAGACAACTTGTTTCAGTTGAAACAGGTCACGGAGGATAAAATATTACATATTTTCAATAAAATATAATCTCGGGCGGTTGCACTAGATGGTTTGAATATTAATATGTTAGCTCTAGTGCTTCCTTTTTGTTCTAAAGCGAATACTCATATAATTAACTATTCGCTTGAAAAAGGGTTAGTTCCTAAAATTTGGAAAGCCGCATGCGTGCCTCTTGCTAAAATTGATGCTCCAGAAGTACCTGATGACTATAGATCAATTAGTATCCTTCCAGTGTTATCGAAAGTATTAGAAAAAATTTTATATGCGCAATTGATGCAGCACGTCACTACCTTTAAGATAATTCCATCTACGCAGTCGTGGTTTCGAAAAAACCACAACACCGTAACAACTCTGCTCGATGTCTGTGACGACTTCATAGGGGCAATAGATAATTCTAAAGTTACTACGGCTATCATGATAGATCTAAGTTAGGCCTTTTTGACTGCCTCAACCATGAACTACTTTTTGCAAAATTTCATTATCTTGGCTTCTCCGATAGTTCGATTAATTGGTTTCGCAGTTATTTTCATGAACGCACTCAGCAGGTAAAAATCGGTGACATCTTATCACAGGAGGGTACTATCTCCAAAGGTGTACCACGGGGGCCTATTCTTGAACCTATTCTATTTTCTCTTTCTGTAAGTAGCGGACTTAGATCAAGTCACTAAATACTGCAAATTACATACCTACGCCGATGATACACAGATTTATCTTTCTTACAACCCTGCTATGTACACTGAAGCGAATGAGATGCTGTCTGAGAATTTAAATAGTATATGTGTGTGGTATAACAAACATGGCTTATGTATTAACCCTAGAAAGTCGGCTATCATAACTATTAAATCTAAATTCAGCAAATTCAATAGTGAATTAATAAAGCTGTGTATTGGAGGTGATGAACTTTGCCACAAGACATCGGTTCGCAACTTGGGCATCACATTTGATGAGAATCTGTGCTTCCATGATCATGTCACCAAAGCTTTTCAGGGTTCCTATGCTAAGTTGAAGTAAATTTATAGCTATAAAAATGTATTGTCCAAGCAGACCAAGGTTAAGCTGTGTGACTCCCTTATCCTAAGTAAACTTGAATACGGGGACCTTGTTATGGTCCATGTCTAATACAGAGCGAGGCATACAGACTTCAAAAAGTGCAAAACGGCTGCATAAGATTCAGTTTAGGCATTCAAAGGCGGGAGAGGATATCTGATCATATTAAAAATATTCAATGGCTTACTATGCGACAAAGGTGGATACTGCAACTATTATCATTGGTCCACAGTATTCTGATAAATAAAATGCCCCTTTATTTGAAGAACAAGCTTATCATGAGATGTGATCATCACTCAGCGAATCTGCGTTTTGTAGGATATACTCTTGACTTGCCTCGGCACCGAACAACCCAATTCAGAAAGAGCTTTTCATATGTGGCGCCCGATTTCTCCAATAAAGTACCTCAAGCTTTGAAAACTCTGAGTAAAGCTTTAAAAGAAAAGTTAGGCTCTTTTTCTTTGATGACATGTAGCATGTATTTCTATGTAATTTTATTTTTATATTTGTTTATTTGTGCATGTTTTCTCACTTGTCACTTTTCATTTGTTTGTGTTTTGCTTACGAATTTGTTACTGTTTACTTTTAATTTTTATATCTTCCGCCATATACCTAATATTTTCTTTTTTTAAAGTTAAGCATGGTTTTTGATTCTGCTTCGTACTCTGTTGATGCACGTTTCTTTTTTCGTCTTTTGGTCATTATACCATGCATAGGCTACGATACTGTAAAAAAAATTTTCTGCTTATATTTTCTTATTATCTTCTGTGTATTTTTTTGTATTTGCATGTACTTGAATTTTTTTTAGCCCTGGTTGGTTCTGAAAAATAGCTTGTGCTGATGTAACCCGCCAGGTAAAATAAACGCCATTTATTATTATTATTATTATTGGGAAACCCTGTATATTACGCACCACATCGGTGCAAGATCAACAGGTACATCGAATCGCTGGAGCAGGTTGATTAAATAATCATCTAAGGTCGATTTATCAACTGTGACGTTGCCGTACCGCCGGAGTAGCGTTACCGTAACGCTGCCGCTGGCAGTTAAAATCAATTTATAAACTTTCTATCTTTACGGCATGTGACACATGACCTAACCCAAAATTGCACCCTTTTTCATATATTTGAAGACCAAACTTGACTGCGTATCATTCTGGTTGACAGACGACAAGACGTGCTAGCTAGTCTTACTTTTGTGTTTCTTTTCTTTTGTACCCCGTTTGTGATTTGAATTTTGCAAAAATGGATTATGCAAATGATTCTCACACCTTGGAATTTTTTGTGTTACCAGTACTTTGTAGCACAATTGGCATCTTGAAGACGAAAAAATTGCAAGGGCGACAAAGAAGGCGGTTCAAAGTTAGACCTATGAATGGTAGTAGCAACAAAACTAGATGCAGTCTTTTCACCATCTTCAGATAATTCAGATTCTTATTTAAGTGAACCAGATAAAATATAGAAAAAAATATCATAGATAGCAAAACAAAACATATGTCAATGTCAATCAGAGCACCAGCTGATCTGTGGCAATAAACACGTGATTTGCAGGGTCCCTTTCATTGGTTGAATCGGGAACGGTAGCGGTAGAAAGTTAAAATTTCGTCAAGTCTAGCGCCAAAGGTATGGCAGTAGATGCGGAACGCCAGAGCTTATAAATCGACCTTTATCAGTAGCTGGTTTTGGGAGTAGTATAGTGTTGGTAATACGGGGTTAGCAAAAAGGGTCAAAGGTGGCCTAGTTGTCAGGCTCCGCCTCCCCACCACTATATTAAATTTGTAGTCACGGTTCTTGGTGGGTCAAAGTAAGACTACCAGTATCCCTTTATATATCTCCAACTCACTGATACATACACATGCAACACCCTTGCGTGTGAACGTTTGTTTTTTAGTTGTGTGTCTCCGTCTCGAAAACTTTGTCGTTTCGTATGAGTGCCCTTGAATCATATTTGTCAGAGTAACAACTTATTGGCATCGGCGTGCAATTTTCGTTGTCCTGTTATTAATCTTCAATATAAAATTGTACAATGCCCGGAAATACGATCAATGGAGAAGGCCGACAGCTCGTGCTAAATTTATTAGAGAATTTTCAGGAAGAGAATAAAAACATCGGTCCCCTGTTACCCACTTCATGCGTACTGGTAAGAGTAGCAGATGCGCTGAATACACAAAATCCAAAATTGCTAAACTGTTGATGTAAGTGATGCCGTCAAAACAGAAATTAGGAATACTTTCTATGATATGAGAAGTAAATAATAATTTTGAATCGGTTTCCTTCAGTAAGGAAAACTAAGATCCGCCCATGCTACTGAGACTTGATCTGTTTACTTATTTCATATGGCACTGATGACGTAACCGCCAAGAACGGTGACTACAACTTTACTACTATTTCTTCACAAGCATCTCTACTGAAAATTCGAAGGATTATAATTTCAGCATATTTAAGTTGATAGAATGCTTCTTAATACTAACAAAATATCATAATTAAGTTGATTGATGATTTTTTGGTACTTTGCAGGCCCCAGCAAACTTGTCCAAAACCAACGTTGTCAATGTTCCTGTGTTACAAACGGTGCAGCATATTCCTGATTCTGCCGATAAGGGCATCTTAGATGTGACAGCTATGGACAATGCCGAAATCATATGCATTGGTAGCGAAGGAAATATTTACTGTTTAGATACTTTTCAGGTAAACTGGTATTTTTTGTTTTCTTATTTTTGCCGTACCTCAGGGCGTCAATTTTTATTGAATGCGCATGATTTTAGAAGTAACTGCTCAACTTAGTCAGCGGGTCAGGTCACTTTCTTGGATCACTCTTTTGGCACTACCACTTGTCTAATTTTATTGGGGTTTTGAGGCAAATATGGTTTCAACTTTCTTCTACATCATGCTCAAAAGAGCATCGCGATCAAATAAAGAGTACCTGTACCAAGTCATTTAGAGTGACGAGTTGTCCCAAAACAAAAATTGCCGAGACCTCACATAAATTTGTCGCTATAATTCAACAGGCTACGCAAAACTTTTATGGTTATTTTATGATATTCTGCTGTTATAACTGACTTTATGAACAAAACGACATATCTGATATCTGGGTAAACGTTGTATCCCTCTTTCATACCCTCACGCCGAGCAGCGTGTTGTGAACCTGTACAGAGATTTTTTTATACCGAAGCAACTACGTAGGCAGAAGCCTAAATACTAGGGCTTAAAGTCGTTAAAAGAGATACCAACTCACAAGGTACAGAGACATTTATTGAACAAAATACATAAATAAATAAATAAAAAACATTAAGGAGAAATCCTGGAGGACAGGCTAACGAGAATACATTTATGTATTACCCCCCTAGCTAAATGGTTATCAAAAAAAAAATTATAAAAAAACCTTGGATATCCCCGAACGGCAACCGAACGTAGGACATTCCAGATGTCACCCTAACCGGAGGATACAACCCAAAGGTAGAACTGGATGGTAAAACTGAAGGGTAGAACACTCGAACAATGACGGTTCACTGAAAATGGGGAACTGCTCCTTCCAGACGTGAGTCCCACTCAAACTCGCTTTGGACTAACCCTGCAGGCGGTTTCCCTCAGCTTGTTCGTTGAGTGTAATTATCTGCACGGTTAAATTCCCAAAAGGGTTATAAAAAGGCTCCGACAATAAAATCCACCAAGGGGGCCGATTTCTAATAAAAACTACCCCACCACCCCTTGACTCCGCAACTCAGCGTGTGAACTATTCACAGAATCAGGCAGTGGGCCGTAGACAAATTTTTACACCAAAGCACCGGAAATAGCACCAAGTCACCTTCAGCTTTCGTATTTACGGGCGACAGAAATTATAAAAAGTGACCTCCAACGAGATGGAGAGTAGAGTACGATTTTCTACCTTAAAATTATTATACTGAGAGAAGTGGTTTGTTATAAAAATGAATTTGCTTTTAAGAATGGCTATAAAAGTATTATTCTAAATAAGAAAAACGTTGTAATAATTTAATAACATAGTGAAATTTATCGGCAAATCCACGTGAAGATCTCTTTAACTTGTTTTGGGACATCTCGTCGCTCTAAGTGCCCTAACGCAGATATTATGATGTATGTAATATGGCTCGCAAATGCCAATTTCATTTCATAATTCTTGTAGCATTATCTTTTTAAAATGTTGATTTTCCTTTTCAGGCTCCCGAAAGCAGTACTAATATAAATAAACTAGTAGATACTGTTATTTTGGAAGATTCATTATTGAAAGTATCAGACAATTCGCAGAAAAATGGGGCATCAGAAATAAAATTAGAGACATCAGAAAATATAGAAAATGAAGAAATATCTATTAAAGATGAATTCATAGAGCCGAAGAAAGCTGAAAAATCTAAAGGACCTATAAAAGTCTGTTCGTTCTGTTCAAAGACCTTCAAAAAACCGTCAGATTTGGTAATTACATCAATTTACCAATATTATATGTCATCAGTTTTTTAACGGTAAAGTGCTTCGTGGATTTTAAGTTTTTAAATTGATTTTTTGCAACTTTTGTATCTTCATCATCTTTACTTTTTAGGAGCGGCATATGAGAACCCATACGGGTGAACGGCCATATTCCTGCACTTTGTGTGATAAATCGTTTAAACTAAAATCTACATTAAACACCCATGCTAAAAGACATGATTTAGTTAATAATAAAGTTACTTGTGCTGTTTGTGGATCATTCCTCTCTTCAGAATCCAGTCTCAAAGTTCACATGAGCATACACACTGGTAAGAATTTATCATTTATTCTTTTAATAAATTTAGTTTGCTCAAAACAAGCTCAAATGGAATTTTCTCTAACTCACTTTCCTCATCGGCCATTGCTCTGATGAGCGCCAATAAGGACAAAATAGGGACAACAATATTAATTACAGGAGTGGGGAGCACTAGGGGTAGATTTCCTCACATTCTAGGGATCAATTGATTCATTTTTTCTCTTGGATGATTTGAATAGGCTGGGAAGAGTTTTATAACTAGTATAGTTTTTATAATCGATCCCAAATTGTAAAAGAATCAAAATACAAAATTGGATTATATTGGTCAAGTAGTTTTTTGAGAATTTGTAATTGTTTATCTCAAAACACCTGTTTACCGGACATCGCTACTAGTTTATTGAGCAATATATACAGGGTTCAAAGAGCATTTAATAGCAAAATACACGTGTTTACCTTGCCGATGTGAATCACAAACCATTCCGAAAGATAAATGTTATTTTTATGCGAAAAACATAGGTTACGTTTTTTTTTTCTAAACAAATTTAAACATAAGCGGATGTGCCTATCATCTTCTGTTGCGAATTACTCACAAATACGACATGTTTGAATTAGTTTAGAAGAAAAAACGTAACCCATCCTTTTTTGCATAAAAATAACATTTATCTTCCGGAATATCTGCGAGAAACCATCGAAGCATTAGCAACAAGTGCCAAAACCTGCAGTTTGCCTCGGTTTTCGGCCATAACTTTTTTGCTATTATTCGGATCTTTTTACGTGTGGTCTCACTTTATAGGTCTCATAAATACCTAAAAATCTTGTATGAAGAGTTTTTTCGTTCCTGACAACACTTGTGATTGAAACCCAAAAAACACATTTTCGAATTATTTGTTGTCGAATAAAAAGTTATCCCACAAAAATTGGTGTACCTATTTTATTAGACTTTACAATTATTTCACAAACCAGGGGTATTTTTGTCTAATATGATTCACTATTAATGAAAAAAAAAAGACAAAAATGGACTTTGATATCCAGTCAATCAAGAATGGTGTAAAACAATCGCTTAACTGTTAATGTTAAGACAAATTTTATTGCATTTAAATGCTTCCATGATTTTATAAGTTTAAATAATGAGTTGATACACAAAAACTCCATCAAATTTTTAGAACTGACCATTGATAATAGATCAGGTTTTCCTAATCATGTAAACCAATAGCTTATACGACTAGCACAGATTTATTTTATTACCAGTTATTTACAACATAGGGAAACGCCCAGGACTAAGCAGTTACTTTGCTTTATTTGAAAGTAGATTGAGATTTTCCCTTTTGGTGTTCTTGTTCCCAAAATTGTTTCAAAAACTGCATATTCTACAAAAACGAGCTATTAGATATATACTCCTAGAGCTGCATACAGGCGTTTATTTCTACATCTTAAAATAATGAATGTCATATAATTGTTCATTTTAAAACAGCACCTCTTATTTATTAAAAATAAATTCAAATTTGAAACATTAAATATAAGTTGCGAAATTAGAAGAAAACAAGGTCTTAAATTAGAAATTAGTAGTACCTGAATCAACACTTTTGAAAGACTCAGTAGTTTATAATTATACATATGCCCCTGAATGCTATCAAAAGAATCAACAATTTAAAGATATTGCGACATGATCATTTGAAAACCACTGATTAAAAGAAAAAATGCCGAGACTCGTGGGGACAACTTTTTAACCGAAAAATACTTCACCCCCTTTCAGCCTCTGCCCCCAGGGTCATCTCCTTAAAAATTCTAAAAGACAACGGGTATCGAGTTTTAGCTTGTTTGAAAGGTCCTTCGAAGCCCTTTATTTTTTTAAATATATATATATATATTAATCGTTGTTTATCTTAATTTGTTTAGATAGAAAACAAAAACACACGAATATATCACTCTTTATTTCAAGTGTTCAGAATTTTGCCCCTTATTGGCCAAACAATGATATAGCCGATGTTTAAATTCCTGACGGACATCTTCAAAAACATGTGGGATATCATGGCAGCTTTCGATGATGGGTTGGCGAAGTTCATCAAACCTTTCAGGTTTGGGAGTAAACACAGTAGGTTTCAAATGGCCCCACAGAAAAAAGGATAATGGCATCAAATCAGGAGATCTAGCAGGCCATTCCGTAGGCCCTCTTAGCCATCCTCTTCGATATGGTTTTCAATGGTTTCTGTGATGAGCGGATTGATGGCATTTTCCGGCATATCCAAATAAATGTCTTCATTCGAATTTCTATTGATGAACAATGGCCCAATCGCTTTGTTTTCTAAAATGCCTGCTCATATGTTAATTGTTTGGGGGTACTGGGTATGCCCTTCTACAAAAGCATGAGGATTTTCATTGCTCCAATACCTGTAGCTTGCTTATTAACAAATCCATTTAGATAAAATGTGCATTCATCACTGAAGCAGATATCCTTTACATGAATGGTATTATCATTAACTGCTGCAGTCATTTATTCACAAAACTCAACTCGCCTATCGAAATCATCTTCGGTTAACTCTTGCAATGTTTTCATGTTGAATAGATAACATTTATGGAGTTTAGTAACTGTGTGTACAGAGCCCAATGAAATACCAGTCGCAGTAACAATTTTGCGTAATGAAGTATTAGGATTTATTCCAAAATGACTCAAAACTTCAACTTGAGCGGCTTCATCCAAAACTATCCGATGATCATGTTCTTTATTTGCAACAGATCCAGTTTGTGTAAGGTCTAAAACATACCCATGCGAAGTTATCTTCCCCGGCACATTGAATTTGGGCACCATAAAGTAGAATCATTTCCACTATTTCGGCTAGTGTGCAAACCATTTTGGAAGTAAAATCTGAATCAATAAATTCACTTGCACTATCCCAAGATTGTCACAAAGGTAAGTGACAGCAAATTAAATTGTTTCTTTCCCTTAGCAACAAATAACTAAACAGGTATAACAATGAATACACATCGTTCAGGATATCTGTGTTGATCAAAAGAATGCGGGAAAAATTGGGGTTGTTATGTTGTATTTGGTTGTTGCCAAGTCTAATCTTCCGAATTGCTGTTTATGTTTGTAGTTTCCGTTTTAAATTATAAACGAATTGTAGATTTGGCAAACCCTAACGGGCAACATTTTGAACACTTATTGAAATAAAGAGTGATATTTTCGTGTGTTTTTGTTTTCTATCTGAACAAATTAAGATAAATAAATTTTTTTCTAATTTTCTCGAAAACGAATCGAAGGATTTATAAAAAACAAACGTCAAAATAAAAGACTTCGAAATACCTTTCAAACAAGCTATTACTCGATACCGCTTGTCATTTAAACTTTTGAAGGGAATGAATCTGGGGGCCGAGGGTGAAAGGGGGTGTAGTAGTTTTTGGGTAAAAATTTGTCCTCTTTGACAATTCTGTTGACGTGTCTCGGCATTTATTCTTTTAATCAGTGGTTTTCGATAAATCCGTGGTGGGAAGTTTTCAAATGAACCCGATGTATGTAAACCATATTATAGTGAGTTATACAAATCATTTACATCTTAAGATCTACCTATGTAATTTTATTGCGGTGTAGCTTTGTCATTAAGAATTATTGCATTCTTCAGACAATAAAGCATATTTCTCTATCTGTCTATCTATGAAATTTCAGGTCAGAAACCATACAAATGTTCGTTCTGCGACAAGGCATTTCGTACAATGAGCAACAAAAAATCCCATGAGAATCTGAGTCATATGAATACCAAGAAAAAACCGGATAAAGAGGGAAAAACTAAAACCACATCGAAAGCTGTCAGTATTTTGGAGACAGTAACAATGGAGCTCTTAAGTGGAGTAGAGACTGAGGGCAGGCAAGAAAGCATAGGGATTTCGGATGTTCAAGGAAAAATTACCGAGGAGGTATGCAGAACGTTTTTCACTGGGAAATTTTCTCCAGCTGATATCACGTTTCTTGAATTTTTAAATGATAAGCTGTCAGATATCATTAGATTTTTGCTTTTATGGTCAGTTCCAGTATTGATCGACAATCATTTTTGTTTTCAGTTGACACATAGTCCAGCTCAATCGATAGTAGATCCAATAACATCAACCTTTGATCTGCCTAACCAACAGAGCATTCTTTTGGACACAGCAAAAAGCGATTTGTTGCCTCAGTATCATCTGATACCATTCAACGACGTCACTCTGTTAGACTTGGATGTCCATGGAGATTTCCAGGTATTTAGGAAAAAATTGACCCATCTATTTCTTGAGATATTATCAAAAATTGGGCGTGTCAAATGAAATGCTTTATTTTAAACACGTTCTTCGTAAACCTTTTTTGCAGCAATCAATATACTACAAGGCCAAAAGTAATACTATATGTATAACATTCTCATTCTTTCCGATTGATTTTTTCACTGATGAGTCGCACATTGAGCGGTTAAAAAATCAACAGCTGCCCACATTCATTGCTTAATATGTTCTCCAAGAAGATGCCCAAATTCATGCTATATTAAGTGATATAAAGTTTTGAACTGTCCAAGGTTAGCAGCTGGGAAAAACCTGCTCAGGCAGATTTTTCCACAATCTAGGCAACCTAGGAGCAAAGCAGCGGTTGTACAGCCTTGTCCTCGATGTACGACGTAGTTGGAAGGGGAGGCAGAAGCCTGGCAAGTTCGTTTGTCAGGCTCAACTCGGCGTGGTATCATGCAAGAGAGCTTTGAGGAGCAAAGCCCGTTGTCATAGTGGTAGAAAAGAGCAATCATACATTAAACTATTCATAAACAGAAATTCTGCAACGTTCTCCCGCAACGCTGACGCTAGACTTGACGAAGTTATAACTTCCTGCCGTGTCCGATTCAACCAATGAGGAGCCTGCAAATCGTCCGTTTGTTGCCACAGCTCAGCTCAGTTTCCTTGTGCTTTGCGCTTTGTTTGACATTAACATATGTTTTGTTTTGCTTTTGTAATCGGCGTGGCTCCGTTTGAGATTGGTTGCTTTTATTTAGTTTACTTAAATAATAATAATAATATGAATTATCAGGAGATGTGTGATACAAGCGATGAAGACACTGCATCTGGTTTTGTAGATAAGTCTAAGTTTAAAGCGCCTTACGGTTTTTTCGTCTTCAATATGAGAATTGTGCAATAACGTAACTCAAAGAATTTCAAAAAGTGAGGGCATTTGCATAATCCATAGGAGTCAGGCACAGGGTAATGTCGCAGTCCAATGGCGGTAGGTCTTTCTGGACACTATCCAATCAGATTGAAATGAACTTCCACCACTTACGTGTCAACATGGAATGATTGTAACCGACTCAAAGGCTAACGCGGAAGAGCTTGGCAAGATCTTTACTGCCAACTTCACCATGGACGTCTCCCCCTACGCCCAAGTGCCGTCGATTTAAAGGGTTCCCTACACTATGCAGGAAGTAACATTCATGCATAAGACCCTCGAAGTCAACAAAGCTCTGGACAGGATTTGATTCCTGCTGTTGTATTGAAGACATGTGTAGCGGAGCTTTCTCCAGATCTTGCACGTCTCTTCCAGATATTTTACGAATCTGGCACCTTCCCGAAAAATTTTAAATTTGCTCACGACCAAGCCATCCCAAAAAAGGGATCTAAGACCGACCCATGTGACTACAGGCCGTTTATAGCTTAGCTTTCTGTTATAAGTAAGGTGATGGAGAGGTGCATAAATTGCCTCTGGACGACCTCGAACGTTACCGCTTGACTAGCGACAGGCAGTATGGTTTCCGGCACCAACGATCCACAGGGGACCTCCTAGCTTACGTCTCGTAATTGTGGAGTGAACTCATTCAGTCTTATGGTGAGGCTCATGTCGTTGCTCTTGATATCATGAAAGCGTTCGAACAGCTGTGGCACGCTGCCCTCTTATGCAAACTTCTATCCTATGGCCTCCCAGAGAAGCTTTGCAAATCTCTTCTTCAATCCACAACGTCAACGCGGATGTTCCCTAGGGAGAGGTCTTGGCTCTGACACTGTTCCTCTTACACATCAACGACCTCCTTTCCTGAACGATCAATCCAATCCACAGCTTTGCTGATGACATCACTCTACATGCTCTATTTCAGAGAGACAAGCCGATCTCTGTCGGTGTGCTGGAAAAAAGAAGACTAGCAGCAACTTCCTCTCTGACGAGAGACCTGAAGGTCAACACTGCTTCAGACGCAACAATTTTGCTTAAAAAACACGATACTACCTTGACCAACAAAAGGCGTCCTAGCGCTTATCCGGTTTCGATGGATGATCCAGTTCTGCCGTTCATTCCGGCTGGTCGGAGTCCAGATCACCGATGACTTGATCCGGGACGAACACATCTCGTCAATAGCGGCAGCTGCTGGGAAAGAGCTAGGATATTGGTTTGGGGCTAAGAAATACTTTTCTCCACATAACATCCTCACTCTATACAAGACGGGCCTTGCTCCCCAGAGCTCTCCTCCACCTTGTCGAACTGGGTACATCCAGAACTGGCCCAAACGACCACTGCTTTGTCCCTAAGGTGCCGAGATTGTGGAACAAACTGCAAGAGGAGGTTTTTCCCAGTTCTACTAACCTTAGGCAGTTCAAAAATTGGACTAACAGTTTCTTTGGTATCCTCATAGCAGCCGCGGTGTCCTGGCATTTAGGCTTCTGCAAACGCGGCTGCTTCGGTGTAAAAAAAACTTGGCCATTGATCCAGGTTTCATATCATTAGATACTTTGGAGAGGTGGCACCTAAATGTGGTAGTCGAGACGTATATAGTTAAGTACGCATAAGTGGTATGTAGATTACTTATTTTAGTGCAGGCCCGACTTTCAATTTGATTGTTCGATTGGGTATCTTTTTGTGGAATATATCAATCAATGGTACAATATGCAACTCAGAATTGAGCTTTGTACTGTAGAGCCTATAGAGGCTTTTCTGAAAACACAACAATAATATTTTTGCTTAAGACTATTATTTTCAGGTGGTCACCCTTCCCAAAGAGGACGATCTAATTCAGACAGAATTATCTGTCATTAAACAGACACCTGTCAGTGCCAAACCGGAATGTACGACCTGTGGTAAAACGTATGCATCGAGAACTGCTTTGAAACGCCACCAGAGAAAGGTGCATGAAAGAAAAAAGGCAAAACTCAAAAGTGGCGTGAATAGACCGTTCGGATGCCCGAAGTGTGCGAATAGTTTTGCGTTGGAGCAGGGACTGAAGACGCATTTGAAGAGGTAAAGATGGCAGATTGACTTCTCACTGTTTAATACATTATGTTATGCTGTTTTTAATTACATCTACTCTATTTAACGTTATGTATGGAGGTGTAGTAATTTTATATCTCTGTAGCGTAGCTGTACCGTAAACGTTAGTATTTTAGAGAAATACAGACCTTTTTTTGTAGAATGGTAAATGATACCACAGTGTTGGCAGTACTTTGTAGAAGGCATGCCAATTAAAAATGGTATTTTTGTTCCAGGATACACGGTGATACAGTGATTTCGGATGAAACATTCCAAGCATTGTTAGATATGGGTCTTACCTTCCAGAAGGATTGCTGATTAAAATTACTGTTTCAATATGAAAAGCTAACTGTTAGGTGTTTATTATTTTAGAATATATGTACGTCTTGAGATGAATATAACATTTTATGCGATATTGGTTTTATGGAGTTTTATTTATCACCTAAAAGCACCGTTCACCGTTCATGTTTCGTTTTTTGATCAAGTTTCGTTATAATTGATTTGAATATTATGTGAAATTCTAAAGGTATCGGAATTGGCAGGTGTTTTTTCAGCCGTAATTGAAAAAAGTTGTTTCGTTTCAATAAAGTAACCAGGAAGACCTGAATACTCTACTCGAAGATCTTTCTCAACTTCGGTCTCCAATTGCAGGTTGTTTGTAATTTTTTTTGGAAGAGTCCATTAGATTACTATACTTGATCTCCTCCTTAAAGATATGGTCAGCTTTCTCCAGTAGTCTGAACAGTGGCATAGCAAGGGGGGCGGCGAGGGCGGGCCGCACCGGGTGTCACCATTTTTGGGGTGACTCAACTTTAAGAACATTGTACAAACATAAAAAAATTGCACAGATTCCATCGTAAAGTACAGGCTTAACTGTTGACGAAACTGCTACAAAAATAGAGGCACTTCGTCTTTATATCGAAAAAAAAAGCGGGATCACATTGTGGAAGAGGCAATAGATATTGCTACAAAAAAATGAGAAGACTACGATATTCCAACAGAAAGACGACTTCGTCATAAAAAACGGGTGGTTGGTGAGATGGCCAGTGGTGCAGGACTCACACTGAAAGAAGAACTTCAAAAATATATGTTGGAATGCCTTAACCGATTTATAGTTGAACTCCAGACAAGATCGAAGTCTCTTCAAGACCTAGCTTCATTGTTCGAGATCCTACAAACAAATACTTTGCTTTTGACGAATACTGAAGAACGGAAATTAGTTACATCCAAATTTACTGATTTTTCTATGATGAAGTCTCAGAAGTAGAATTTTGTATTTTGGTAAGTTATGATACAATTTTGGACCTAAGTACGTATATATAGAAGATTTCAACATTATTCCTTTTTTTGGTGTTGCAATAATTATTTGTATATTTTTATTTCTAGCATCATATTCATAATTTTTATAAATGGTCGAATGTTATGAATTGTTTTTATGAATAGTTTTTTCTATTTTGTAAAGAATTTAGATGGTTATTATTCGTGGATCCCCAGATAATAATTCCATAGATTATGTGGTATTGAACTAATGTTTGATATAAAATTTTTAATTGAGTTTCATTGAAAATTTGTCTGTAATATCTTAATTTATCTAATAGAAATCTAAGTTTCTTTTTCATGTATTGGATATGTTCATCCCAACGAAGATGACACAATTCCGAGATATTTATGATTTCGCTAACGTGATATATATTCATTTTGAAGATTTGTTTTCTTTATATTTAGCTGATTATATAGCGGTAATTTATTTATGTAACAGGTGAAGGGAATAAAGTAGTTTTTTTATAATTAATAGCTAATGGATTGTTGTTATCAATCTTTCTTAGTCAAGTCGCCTACTAATAATTTCACGGCATCTTTGGTAGATACACCTTTTCTAAAGCTAAAATATGATCTAGTCGTACTTTAAGGATTTTTTCAAATATCTTCGCCAAATTTGTTATTACAGAAACTGGTCTATAGTTATTTAATTCTGATCTATCTCCACTTTTATGTATTGGTATAACTAAAGCCATTTTGAATGCACTGGGATAATTACCAGTTTCAAAAATCCAATTTATTCTGAATGTAAGAGGTTTAGTTATATAGATAGCTATAATTTTCAGAGCTTCTGCTCTTATATTGTCATAACTTTTCTTTAAGTTTATTATAGTTTCAGTAATTTCGGTTTCATCCGTATTCGTTAAGTAGAATGAATTTGGTGTGTATTTTTTCTGTATAGATTCACTTACGTTGAATTTTTATGAATTTGATCCCTGCGTATCCCACCTATATTAGAAAAATATTTTACAAACCTGTTTGCGATTTCTTGTTTTGATTTAAATATATGATTTTGTTCATCTTTTATCAAGTTAATTGCGGTATCTTTCTTTTTGTTCCCGTTTCTTTCAAGGCATTCCAGAGTGATGTAGAATTGTTTCCATTTTCACTCAACTTTTTTTGGATATAATCTTTTTTGGCTTTTTTGATATTTTCACTTAGTTTATTTCTAGTTTTTTTTATAGTTATTTATGTTTTCTATTGTAGGGTCATTAATCATTGTTTTATAAATTTTGTCTTTCTTTTCCATTTCTTTCAGAATGTAATTGTTGATCCATTTTTTCTTTTAATACTGCACCTTTTTAGTTTTTTATTGGCTCTTATATTAACATAATACTGATTTTTTTATGAAGGTACTGGTAGCTGGCTCTATGTTTTTAGCATTTAATATATCAAACCATTTTTGTTGTTTATTAGTTTCTTTTATCTAAATAATATTTATAATGGCTCATGCTTCGTGTGTCAAGGTTTTTATTCTTGAATATAATACTGGAAAAATGATCAGTTATGTTAGTTTCCAAAAGAATTGGCTTATAACTGAATTTTTTTCAAGTCTCTAATAAAGATATGATCAATACAAGATTTTGAGCTACCTTGTATTCGTGTTGCAGTGTTAATATACAGGGTGTCCAAGTTCCACGACAAACTTAAGGTTCTCCTTCTGGTAGGATTTGGACTGACCTCCCAACTTACCTATATAAAAGTGTCACCGTTTTTGAGATATTGAATTTTTTCTTAAATTTAAAAAAAATAATACCTTTTCATCTGTGGTCTTTAGCTGCATGTACCAATAAGGTTATACTTTGTTAAATTTTTCTATAAAATACTTCTAGATAGTTGCTGTATCATATACAAATGCAATGTAGTTAAAAGATATTTTTTCCTCAACCTTGACCATCTGAGGTGAAACAAAAATGTACTGGGCTATAACTGCATTATTTTGAAAAAAAATATTGCTCATTGAATACATATTTCAGAAAGGCACCACACGTGCTATTTGAAATAGAAAAAAAGTGATACCTGCTTTTGTAAGTGACTGACACTCACTACAATGTAATTATTGGATTTAAATTCAACTTGCACTGGTTACCGATGAGTGACATGGTAAATAAGTACAAAGCTACATTATTATTACCTCCTCCTGATATGATTTTATGAAGGTTGAGGAAACAATATCAGAAGGTTATAAATCCCAAAACAGTCCTTATTTTATCATGGTTCGTTAATATCTTCTAACTGCATTCCATTGGTATATGATAAAGCAACTATCTAGAAGTATTTTATAGAAAAACTGAACAAAGTATAACCTTATTTGTACATGCTGCTAAAGACTACAGATGAAAGGATCGTTTTTTTAAAATTCAAGAAAAAATTCAATATCTCAAAAACGGCGACACTTTTATATAGGTAAGCTTTTGTTATTGGACACCCTGTATGATAAAGTAATTTACTGATGACGAGGGGATCTATATATAGAAATAGCTTTAATATTAATTTTTATTAAATGAACAGAAACACTTTGTGTGCGTATAAAGTCTAAACCGCGCTAAAGCTCTTGCACGAATCTTGACAGACGCGGTTAGTCACTTCTGCTTTATCAAATGCCATTCACTGCAGCTTTACAAAAACAATGCAAAAAGCTGTGTGAACCGTATTCTTCTGAATATGGGTAATAAGTCAATGTATTTGAAAGATCCTAGCGCCATCTATGAGACCGTAGCAGAACACAAACATGAATTTAGAAATCTACTTTGGAAATAATGTTTGGTTCTGCTACTGCCTCATCGATAGCGCTAGGATCTTCAATCTCTTCTAGACTCTGTGCACCTTAAATGCCTATTTTAATTGGGTATTTCCAGGTTGAATATTTTAATCGATACCTGAAGATAATCAATTAAAATAGGCATTAGTAGACACCAAAAAGGTATTGAAGATCCTTGCGATATCTATGAGTAAATAGCAGACCCAAACACTCTACATGTTTTCCAGGCAGATTTCTAAATTCATTTTTGTGTTTTACCACTGTCTCTTAGATAGTGATCGGATCTTTCAGATTCTTTTTAGGATGCCGGAATGCAGTATATAGTTGCTGTCTTCAGATAGGATACGATAATCGATGCGTAAGGCAGAATTTAGGTGATACTGGCACGGGTATCATGTAAAAACCCTATAAAACGTCAAAAAAAAACCTATAAGATGTCAACTTGCATACTAGGTAGTTTTTAGGGCGCAGTCATTCCACGTTTGCTCACTAGGATCGTTGTGAACGTCCATCTATGGAGGAATCACTCAACTTAACTACACGCGCTATTGGTTGCATATGTTTTGTGAGGCCGAGTGGTCCGTGTCTATCATTTTTATCTCTGAGAAGAAAGTTGGTTGAATGAGAAAATCATTACTGAATATGCTGCCAATGAAGTATATCTATTAGCTGTGCCCGACAGGTTATTTGTATATTTAATAAATTATGAAAAACTGAGGAGAATTACGTGAAATCATCACCGCGCCCGCGTTGTATCTTATTACTGTTCGAATGTATATGGCTTGTAATTCGACAGTGTACAATGAATATAATTATTTCTTATCTCTCTCATTTTTGAAATTCAAGAAATTTGTATATACAGGGTGTCCGCAAAGTTGGGGTTTTCCTTTACACGACGTGTAGAACTTGAAAACATAAGCAATTTTTCTTAGTACCATATACACCAATGTCTTAAGGGAACCGAGATAAAGGGCTCTGCAACATCAAAAATATCGGAATACCGTCCTGTAGCCGCGACCCGCGACATCACCGAGTGGTACAAGGTCACTGGCTCAACCCGGTTCGGGGTCAGTGTGTCAGGTCAGTATGCAACCTTTAACCGACGGTTACGGTCACGCGTGTAGAGGTAAACGAACCCGTATAATCGATTGCGTTTCAAAAAAAAAATAATATTGGCACACTCATACACCAATAATGAACTCGTTGATATGTTGTTAATTTATGGCGAATGTCTTCAAAATGCTACAGAGGCTTCGCAAGTGTATGCAGATCGTTTCCCTAGACGACATCATCCAAGGCCCCGCAGATTTGTGTACCTGGTCCAGAGAGTCAGGGATA